ACTATGCGTGTTACCAAAATGTCCGGTAAAGGGGTACTTTTCACGCACCAAAGTCCGGCTCGTAGTACACAAAAATCCAGCCCGTATTGACTTTACACACCGGACTTTGGGGTGTTTTCGAAAGGAGGGAACATGCATATGCGTACCCTAAATAACACTGAGTTGAGGGGGGGGGGCGGGAGGCCATCCTTCGGCGCTGATGGAGGGGATGGGGGTACTGTTGCTTGTTGGATCAGATTTTTGTTCACTCCATGAAGAAACATTTGATGTGCATTAGTCTGGAGGGGGAGGGGGCAGGGATTGATAAAATCAGGAATATAGGAATTTTAGGAAGAAATGTGTAGAAAATTAGAAACATGTACAGAGGGATACTTTGCAGGGGAAGTAGAGGCACATGACAGATGATTCTAAAATTTGGAGAACTTTTCTTATACTTCAGTCGAGCCGCCAAACTGACCCCACACCCATTCCAAACCGAAAGACTCTTCGCCATTCGGGGTAATGCGTTATATATTGTATTGGGTCTGTAGTGGTTCAGGGGGTCTTTCATAAAGACTAAGATCGACTTTAAGTAATAGACTTAACTATGGCATTGGTCTCTCGAGGGACCTACAAATCATGGTCCCAATATCTACAGAATTTAACTTTATGATAATGCATTATTAAGGATTTTTTTAATCTCAAGTTCATAATTGGTAGAGCGATCAATGGCATGCCATAGTTAAGTCAAACTTAAAGTCGATCTTAATCTTTTTGAAACACCCCCCCCCCCCCGTGATCTTGTTGGGTGTGACTGTGGTGTTAAAACAAAATGGGAAAAAATGCATATACATGTATATTTTCGGAAGGGGGTTAATTGCATATTTACTTCACCTGGGTTGAGAGTGGCAAATGTAGATTTAGTATCATGCCAAAGTTTCCACGGCTGGGAGTCGTGACTTACTTTACCACTAGACCTCAAAAGAAAATAAACCTCTATCAATTGGTGGTGTTTTATCTAACTTAAATAGAAGTGACAGAATTGCAATATTGTATATATGCATTCATAGAAATACACCAATGGTTGTACTATTTAGTCTTCATTGTTGATTGCTGGCAAAATTATGCTTTGTGGCTAAAAATTGAAAGCCAATTCTATAAATACCTTAAAAAAATTCTTTTTATGGCAAGTAATGGATGTGATAAATTTAGTTGCGCTATAATTACACTCGATCATACTGTCTTGCAGCAAAAATAGCTAATACTGTTCCTTGATTCTCATTAAGTCTGCCTTGCGCTTGATGGTTAATAGTAGACAAACAAATCGATGTTCCATATGAAATTTTAAAACCTTATGCTACACTGGAATTGAGAATAATTAATGGGGCTCTGTGTATGCTGATTTTAAACAACGATAATTGGTTGTATTGATATAGCCGAATTGTCATCGATCTTGCATTGATTTTCTTATACCATGCCCACAAAATAAAAACCACGCGTGATTGTGTTTTATCAATCTCTGTTTATCAATCAGGAATCAAAACTACGAATAGGTTTGGAATCTATTTGATGTACATGTAGAAATATATTCTGAATGGGGGGGGGGGGGAGCTGAAATGAAGTATATATGATCATATATTTTGAAGGTACATATTGATCATGAATGAATCAGTAACATAAGAGACTCGAAATACAAGACCGATACTGTCCTTCCACCTGTTGCCTAACACCACTCAAACCTTTATCGTAGGGCCTATACCCTATAATTGTCATTATAATGCGTTGAAAGGCAATGTCGAAAGGGAAAGATTGGCTGCGTGATCACATGTTCAAACCAATCTGATAATCATCAAGTACATTGAAGGCTTCACCCTCCTCCCCACCCCCCCCACCCCAATATTTTATTTTGTGTTTCCCCATTCCAATTTTAAGACAAAAAGGGCACCTGGAAACGATAAATCTTCCTATATTAATTTAAAGGTTTGTAATTGAAACGGTTTAATATTACTATCATGACTCATCTGGCATTTTATTCTCAGTCGACATATAACGTATGGACGAACAAGAGAGGTAGTTTCAAGAAAATCTCGTTTTTTAATCGTTACGTCTGATTATCATACATTCAAGATCAACATCTAGTTTTCTTCGTCCATCGGCCTCCTCCTCCTTTATCAAGTTTTCTTTTTTCTTTTTTCTTTCTTTTCAGAGGAAGTTCTGGGCCCCGTCTTACAAAGAGTTGCGATCGATTCAAATCAATCTCAAGTCCTTCATTCGATCGCAAGTTTGCATTCTCCTATCTCTTATGTATAGTTGCGATTCATATTTATCGCAAATAATTTGAGATTGATATCAACTCTTTGTAAAACGGGGCCCTGGAGTAGCTTTAAAACAAAATCGAATCGTATAGAAGGCTCTGGCTGAACTCAAAGTCATCTATACACAGAGTTTGGCCAAACTTGGTTATAGTTGGTGAAAACGTGGCGTATATTCTTTTGTTTATACTTACCCAACAAAGCACATTGTGCCCAACTGGAACCGGGTTGGCCAAACTCTACCCATCAATGGCTCTGGCTGAATATATAAGTAGACGCCCTCATGTGGCGGATATGCAATATGTTCAGGGAAGACCAAGGAATTAAAATCGTTTTCAAGTAATCCGCAGGGACGTCAGTCGAGGGATGGGCTTTGATTTGTTTAGAGGCTTTCTGGAAAATAGCAACAAAATAAATTTTAAAAAATCGCCTGATTTTGGAAACCGCATTGTTAACAAATCTAAAAACATTTCTTTTCTTCAAATTTATGGCAAAGTTGAAATCTGAGGGCCATTTTACTTCCGCTATTTTGTGACACCCCTGTTAGTTCGATGCAAAAGTGATATGATGTGATTAAGAAGTCATTAATGGACAGAAATGATAGAATTTCCTTTTACTCATTCTCTCTTGAGTTGTATGTAGCCTACATGAAAGTTTCCTAATAGACGGGTACTGCACAGAGGTATCAAATACAATACTAGTATACCTTTACAAAAGTATAATTATATCCTGTATATTATTCAGATTTTAAAACAAACTAATATTTTACATAGATAAACTAATGTTTTCGAACATTTACATAGATAAACTAATGTTTTCGACAAGCTCGAAACAATACAACACATGCTTTCTCATAACCTCCACTGGACTAACTCAATATGTTAATGGAGCTACCCACAAAGGTGGACACACTCTTGATTTCTTCCTAACTCGATTCTGATCTTTCACTTGCTAAACATTTTTCAGACTTTTTTTACCGAGAAAAAAAAAATCGAAGTATCAAAAACGAACGTTGCTATATCCATGCTTGATTCATGCAATTCTTCATTTTCTGAAATTTCACCAGTTTCAGAGAATAATGTCAGAGTTATCATAATGAAATCTCCATCATCTGCATGTAGGCTAGATCCAATGCCGACATGGCTGCTTGTGAAATGTTTAGATGAGCTTTTAGCAGTCATCACGAAAATTATAAACATATCTATTCAAAGTGCTCAATTTCCTAATGTTTTGAAATCGGCACAACAATCTTTTGAAGAAACCAAACGTCGATTGTGAAATTTAGAAAAATTATTGGCCTGTTGCCAACTTTAAGTTTCTTGCTAAAACAATTGAACGTGCTTGTCCTTCCCAAATTCAGGGCTATCTATCATCAAACAATCTGTGCAGTTAAATGCAATCTGCATATAGATCTTATCATAGCGTTGAAACTGCTCTTTTACGTGTATATAATGATTTATTGTTAATACCGCTTTTATTATTAATACCATTATTATAATATAAAAAGGATTTTGGATACAACATCATGTGCAACACGAATCCTATTAGGTCTACACCAATGCCATCTCACGACGAACAAAAAAAGAACTCGATCAGTATGACCAGTGTCCATATTGCTATTACAGTTAAAAACTAAATAATTCATCCCCTTAGCAAGTTCTGTAAATGTTTAAGTATGTGGAAAATTGAACTGTCCTGATTTACGTATCTTGAGAATGTGACAAATTAAGCTTACATCTTAACGGATTCAACAATAGTACTTAACCAGTCGACCTTTCATTCTTAATTAACGAAGAAGAAAAAAATCATCATATTTACACATGGGGTATGAATAGTTCAGTCGTTAACTGTAAATTTCTCATGCTGTTAGACAAAACTCTGCTTATAGATGGCTCTAGGTGTACCGTACTACTGTAATGATTATCAGTGAAATTTATACAAAAAACACTTGAGTAACTACTTCAACAGGGATACTTTACATGTCCCTGATCGCACGTTTTGTAGGCCCCTAGTTATACCCTCTCTTTCTTGTTCTCTGCTATTCTCATTGTGAAAGTTCTTGTCTAGTGATGGCGCTGTCGCTCATTTCTAAACAGAATCATGAAACACGTTATCGTCGTCTGTTTCATGCTGTTAGTATCTTTCTTCATCATCTTTCTTTAATAGTTTTGTATTCATTTTTTCTCGTTTTGTCTAGGTACAGAACATTTGAAATATTTAGCATTAACGTTGGCGTAGTTTAAAACATTGACCCAATCCGTATCATATTGGTCGTCCAACGAAAGGATGCAAAATATGTCTGTGAGTGCACCTCTTTGTATGAGAACGAAGGGCCGGCAAAATGTTTTAATTTAATTTCTTATTCTGAATTTAAGAATGATAACATCATCAATACATTATAAAACAAACACGTTTGAAAATGGTTGTGCTCCATTTCTTAAAGGGATTGGGTAACTTTGTCTCAAATTCTGAAAAAAATCCTGGACTTAGCTCATGCTGCAATGATAAGTATAAACCGTTATGTCAGTCAGGAACCCCATGACTTTTACAAGCCGATCGCCTGTCTAATTATCAAGATAATTATGATCGGAAATCAAAATCAAATTTTGCGTTTTCCTAACGGTTTTCATAACACTACAGTCTATTGGGGAAAACGTGTATGGTAAAACCGGTCACTCAAAGATTTTTACTTTTTTAAGGCACTTTTTCATCATTTTGAAGCGCAATGTTGTTAGGGCTTCAATATTACACCATGATAACACGTAGGGCCGTGCATCCAGATATAAAACGATGCCTTTGATTTTAGTTAAACGAAATATCACGAGGCTTAAACTTTGGAGAGTGCTAATGAAAGATTGTCCATTATTGTTTGAATCATTCTTTTGCCCAAGTCCACCGTAAAAGCACTGCAATGCGGAGTGATGAAGACATTGGGCATCTTCAGCAGTGGATGCCCTAAAGGCAACGGGTAGGGTACGGTAAGGTCGAGGGCTGCTCCGGCGATGGTACCGCTCCGAAGTGCGTCTGTGAGGTCATCGTGGTCGACTAACTCGCCTAAATTCCGGTAAAAGTGAAAAATAACCGACATTTTAAATTAGGAGGGTGCTTGTCGCACAGTGCATTGTGAGAGTTACTTTCAAAAAGATAAGGATTGATGAAATCGAAATTGAATGATGCTATACATATTAATGTTTTTACTTATAGGGATAGATGAGTTCTGCTTCAGACCGCAAATGCCTTCAAAATGCCTGGTTATTGCTCTTATTCCTATCTATGACGTTTCTAGTGCCCTTTTAGGACCTAAAATTGCTATGAAGGAAATTTTAGACCCCAAAATGTGTGAAATTTAGCCAATACGATCATACCAATTCAGCTCCACTGTCATAAAAATACGGTGACCTTTAATTAATTAATTAATTAAAAATAACAATACATGGGCCGGCTGGTTGATCGTAATATAACCAACACGAAAAAGCCAATCGAAAAAGCCAACATCGGCATTGGCTGAAATACAACGTAAAAGGCGCTATTTCGTTTTCTCAACGGCTTTTTCAAATTATCTAATATTTGTGGTGGTACACAAATAAATATTAGAAATGGTTATATTTATGGATATTTCAGCCGTCTCTGAACCGATTTTGATCAAACAAAGATGATTTTTTTTTTCTTCATTAAATTGTATGTTTTTTCAAATTGGACACTCAGTTTTTCGTTATCTCACAAAAAAAAATTGTGTAGCGCCCTCTGCAACAGAACTCAACTATCCCAATGCATCCGAAAAATGAATGTTAGAACATTTATAATATTGATAACCTACCTCACGTAATAGTAAATGAAGATTTTTTTTGTTTTGCCCCCTCCCTCATGATGTGTCGTGATTTTACCAAAGAACTGTCAGACTCTTCCACAGTAACCATAATATAAACAACAATTGAAAAAATGATTTTATCTTCTGGAAGTGGTTCTTCTTCAAGAGAAGTTGTCTTTTAAAGAAATCACATCGTTCTAAGTAACCATGACATAACGACAGACTGGTGACGAACGGTAACGTTTTAACTACCTCTAGCGACATTAATGACGATTGCATTTGATTTCATTTTGTTGAACTGGTGTCTTCCCATGATATGACGTGTTTCTTCTGTTAGAGGAAGAGAGAGCACCAGGAAGTCCACATGAGGTAGCAGTTCATCCAGCGAGGAACAGTAGATGGCCTTTACTTCGTCTTCTTCGGCTGCAGGCCTAGAAAACAACATAAAGTTTTTCAAGGGTAGAACATGCACATAAAAACGGTTCTCGCATTTTGGGGGTGCCTTTCCATTAGTTAGGTTGTATGGGTCTGCATCGAGTATATTTTAGTGTAAGACTAAATCAGTTATCATTGTATTAAACTGCCAGAATTGTGCTCGCTCACAGAACTCTAGACCAGAAAGTTAAGGCAAGAGTCATCAGTCCCTTCCAGAGATTTACACAATTTAATGTTATTTCATTAAGTTTAGTCTAATTATAACTGCATTACCTTCTACTGCGACTGTAGTATAGGATTTTCATCTTAAATCCTACAGCCCTCCGTGCGACCTCGTAACCGATGCCTCCCATTCCTACGATGCCGAGGGTAGAACCGGTCACTTCATGGCCTAGGACTTGCACTGTCTGTTCCACCAGTGCTTTTGATTGAGCAGCGAAGCGGTGAGTTAGCTGGATAACTGAATAATTCAAAAAAACGTATTAATGTATAATTATTAGTGATCATGATAATATCGTATATTGTTGATGACTTCAGTCTATAGGTATAGCCTACAATCTGAGAAACCAAGACGGGTTCTAGAATGTAAGCAATCCGATTGGTCAATTGACAACACGTGGGCGTGTATTAGTTTTTCCCATCGTGCAAAACATCTCCCATCAAAAATTGATAAAACAAGCTCGCTACCTGCCGATATCGCTTTCGCGTAATTCAGCCAAAATTAATTTGTCCATAATTGTCAATATCTAGATCTACATCTAGAATATTCTAGACCTAGACCTAGATCTAGTTAGATCTAGATCTAATATCTATATATACTCTAGATCTAGACTATATTGTAAGAAAGTATTGCCGACCCGTCTTCTAAAACACACTGGCAACAGTGCACTATTTGTATACTAATAGCTAGTCACAAGTAAAAGAAAAGCGAACAAACAACTCCGAGAATGAAAAAGAAAGTAGCATGGGTCCGTATTCTAATAATTCAGTAAAACCCGACTCTGGGTTTAAAGGACAACTAAGACCTCAGACTAAATTCCTTTGTAAAACTGATTTTGAACAAAACCCTAAACCCAGCGTCGAGATTTAAATTGCAGTGGAACGCGGGCCAACATCTTTGTAATGTGGAAGTTTAGTTCTGCTGCCATGTTTAATTTAGCAGCAGGAATAATTGAATAATTCAGAAAACGTAGGCCTTGATTTGAATCGATGATTTGAAAGGAGGCCCCGGGACCAATATATCGGTCTTGTGGGCCTTCTATCAACTTTTGAGAAAATTCAAAAGCTCGACATTGTCAGTACCTTCGGACTTTCGGTTTATATGGATGTTGATCTGTTTGGCCGACGTTTTCATGGGTTTTCAGTGTACGTGGATGTTGGTGTGTTTGGCCGACAGACCCATGGGCCGTCGGTCAATTGGGCTGTATGTCTACTGGAGTGTCCGTGACCTACCTTCTGGATTTCTCCTTGCAACAGAGAGTAGCATATTGAAGACCATATCAGCACATGCATCATTGTTCACACCTCCCGCACTATAAACCTTGATGTTGTACTTCCGGAGCAGGGCAAGGTCAAGGTGATCCGTACCACTCGACGGAGTGACAACAGCCTGAATACAGGTACGTCATAAAGGAAAGAGCCGACAAAGCAAAATAAATATGTAATAAATATAGGGAGTTTTTCGGGGTAATCAGGGGCTTATTCTCCCCCCCCCCCCACTCCCCCGAAGAAATTTAAGATTTGTTTTGTCTACACTTGAACTGTATGAGTAGCTATGTTGTATTGCATTGCACTGTATCGATTATCATAGTGAAATCAGTATAATTTCAAAACAATTTATCTGTATTAGTATAATACCAGCCTTGAAGCTGAATGGGTAATGTTACCTTTAAATTGACCATCCGATCCAGCAGTCCAGGGGATAGCTTTGGCATGCCGAAGGTTGTCACCAGCACGACATCCATCTTAGCCGCATACTGGTCCACTGCCGAGCTGAACTCCTCCCAATGTATCACGTGATACATCTCATACACAGCTTCTGTCAATTTGAGACTGGTATCGAATGCCTTCGGAATCGTCACCAACACCCAAGCAGGTTTCCTCTCGGAGTTACACGCCATTGTTCTAGAAAAGGGTTGGTATGATCGTAAATACTTTCGAGAATTTGACCCAAGTCAATTCCAATAGAGTACTCGTTGTTCGCCTTTTAATAAATTAGCGGGCGATATAAGGACCTCATCCGAACGGGATGTATAATGACAATGACTCAGTCAATAGCCCTTGAGTTGATTCCATGAAAGTCTTTAATTACGATCTTTTTGGTTTGACGACACTCGCTCTGGTGACAATTGCTCTGCGGTCATCACCCGACACTTAATCGTATAACTCAGGCGCGCCGGAAGCAGTTTGGAATTGGGGGGAGGCAAACAATCCAGGGGGCTCACCTTCCAGGGGCAGTGGCATAATGAGCAAAAACGTTTGGGGGAGGGGTGGGGCAGAAGAAAAATCTGCATCACCACCACTCTTACATTTCACATGTAGGTAGAGCGTAGCGAGCAAAGCGAGTGGAGCGTAAATTGGCTTGGGGTCCAGGGGCTGAGCCCGGAAGATCAGGGGTTTTAGGCATATACATTATGGTCACTTTGAAGCATACTTTAGATACCTTATTTGTGACACTGGCAGGTCACTAATTGGCGGGGGGGGGTCTAGGGGGAAGCGCCCCCAGAAGTTCAGAGGTTTTAGGTATTTTAATACGGTCAGATAATTTCCCCCCCGACCCCACCCCCACTTTTTTGGTTGGGGTGGGGGGGGGGGGGCAAGCGCCCCCTCCCCTCCCCCAACTTCCGGCGCCTATGGTATAACTTCAACCTTGTTATTGACACAGTACGAAAGATCAAAATGATATTCATAGAATGATCTTTGAAACATGGAGAAGTCCCACTTAAGTTTGTGCATTTTAGAAGAATTGCTAAAAAAAAAAAGCAGAGAGGGGTCTGTTTTACATTGTGTTGTGCTTTTCTCGAAGGATTTGTCGACATTATTTTCTCATGTCACCCCCAAACCCTCCCATCCTCCGTGGTGTATAGCTACGAGGGCACGGGAATAATTATACGCACCCCGCGCACCCTCAATCGAAGACAAAAGAAACGTAAACTAAGGAAGAGAGACGGGGAAGAGGGTTGGAAGAGAAGCGTGGAAAAATTATGACCCTGTCCTACGGCCTACCCCCCCCCCCCTAACCAGTGGTAATGACCTCAAATGATGCCGGTACCCCCTACAATTTGGAAACGGGATACGCCACTGCTATTGCTCAGAAATCTACATGGTTTCTACTTGACAACATCTTGTGTCGTCTTAAAACGTATGTTTATGTAAAAAGGTGTGGCAGTTAATTTTTTCACATAGCTGTACTACATAATTATACGTTCAAATCCATATGTCTGAAATGAGGGAAATATCAATGCTCACCCTGGGACTATTCTGCCCAGATAACCCACTAACCCTTAGTTATCCTCCGTTATACTTGAATCGTAATGGTCTATGTACAGGTCATCTTGGCCTAATCACACAAAAGGAAATGCCGTTTTCCGGAAGTCAAACCTTTTGTCACATAAAAACGATGTATAAAACTAGACATACCAGAAACGCGCAAATTGGTTTAAAGGTATAGACCAGTTTTGGAAACGCCCCCCCCCCCCTCTCAAAAAATGAAAAGGTATAGAGATATCGACTGCTACGAGAGGACTGCCTGTTTTTATACGCTCAAGGGAAGCAAATTTCCCGAGAGCAAGTATAGAAACAGCCAGTCCTCGAGTATTAAAGCAGTCGATATCTACCAAAAATTCTGACCTTATCCTTTTATCGAGTAAAGATTGGTTTTTTTCTTTACGGAAAATCTGATAAACTGCCTCATTTATCACCGTCCGAAAATTACCGAAATTTTTGATCAGTTTGGAATCGCACACAAAAAGCACTGTGTAATGTCCGCGCTCGCTCAAAGAACATTTTAACACGTAAACCAGTGGGTATCGTAGCAAGATTTTATTATTTTTCACGGTAACTGGAATTTTGCCGGGATTTTACTCTCGAGCTAATAAATGGTTTTGGCATTTTTTGTTTCTTTACGGGAATGGCTAAAATCACGACTGTAATTTCGACCAATCAGATGGCTGGATTTCTTAAGTGAGATATATAATAGCTCTTAATATTACCAATCATGTGAAAAAATATGTTTTGACTAATACGTGATACAAATTTTGCAGGGAAACTGCCTACTAATTGATATTTTGGCAAATTACCATATCCATCCGGACGGGATTTATATCGCGTAGTCCCATATCAATCTTTCGGTGTACAGTGCTTGTAACTTTACCAAGACTTTACCAATTTCTTATCATTCTGGTGAGTCAAGAACCTTGCAGTACACACTAATACGTATAGGCTAGATGATCAACCTTTTCTGATCGATCCACAACGTTTCTTTCACAATGCAATCGCATGACCAGAACTCGTCTATAGGCATACCTTTGGAAACTCAGCAAGTAGGTTAAACCATTATCTGGATTATATCGTTCGAGGAGATGTTTCCAGACCATTTTAGTCCAATTCAATTGACGTTTTCGCATTATTACAAAATACCCAAATATTAACAAAGGCATAATGTTTTTAAATAACAGTAATACTGATACAGAGAAGAAGGTATAAAATCCACAGATTGTTTTTGATATGCCGTAGTAAAGAAAAGGCCTTCAGTACCAATACCAAAATATAAGTAGTAAGGGGAGGGGTCGACGAAAATAAGAAAACTATTATTTGTAAAAGTCCTTTCTTCATTTCTGATGATGCAATTCGATATGCAAAGATGTGTGAGAAATTATATTGTAACATGCACGATTCAGAATACGACTATAATGCATTGTTAACATAGAGCTATCATTGAATTGAATTGAATTAAATATGATTGAATTCCCTTTTAAAGCGTATCTGCCATGGTTTACAGGAGGGATTAGACTGCCCTGCAAGGTCACTGGACAGGTGGTTATCTCATCAACTCAGCTTTCAGTTAACATAAGAAAAAGAGGATCATGAGGGACCAATGGTCACCGATTAGGCATGGTTTGTTATATAGAGGGCGCAAGTAGCTACAAGTAGTGCAGTGGGCCTTTAACCCTATTTCTACAGCACCCCCAGCCATTGAATACGAACATGCCGTGGCCAGTGTTGTGTGTTTGTGTGGCTATACTATAACATGCTGTAGAAATAGGGTTAATTCTACGGGATCAAACGGTACCTAGTACAAGTGAATTCGAACGTTTGTGTATTAAATGTGTACTTGGACTTTGTTTGATACATATCATACATGCATTGTTGAATAAACACGAATCGCTCACTCGTGATACTACGGACTTTTAGATTTGCGTGGCCTGATACGTGTGACGTCCATTCAAGGCAGTGCATTAAAGGGACGTCGACCGTAGCAATCCACATTGTCTTCGTGCAAATCTAAAAGTCCCCATTGTTCGCGTCTCCAGACCTATAGTCTAAATTCTAGCACAGATAATTCAACGGAGTTTCACACACAATAGTAATGTTATCAAATTTAATGCATACGTCTGTGGGACGTATCTCAATAGTAAGAATTCAAATTGCCTACATTACTTGTTACTAGGTAGGACATTATGGCTTGCGTTATTGAATGTACATTTTCTTCACTGTTCGTTCGCTGGTAAAATTACACTATAAAATTCTAGTTTCTACAATTGATTTTAAATGTAGGCTATAGATGAACAAAGAAATGTACCAGATGAGGAGCTTTAAAATGAAAATCAGACCAAGAAACACGGTGGTTAACAACAAGAGAAATAATGCACAAAACAACTGAGACATACCTTAAGTGACTCTCACACTCTGCCGTGTAGGCCTACCGTGTGCCACCGTGCGCGAAAATGTCTGCGGACGGTGGAGAACGGCGAGGGCACACGGTGGTTCGTTATCAAAGCGGGCAACACGTTAATAGGGCGTTGGCGCTTATTTACACCCGGTGGGACCCGGCGAAAGTTTTGGGCATGTTCAAAACTTTGGCCGGCTGGCACCGGCCGCAAGTAAGCGACAAGAGGATGGTGTTGAACGGTATGAGGACGGTATGAATACCTTATGAAAACGGTCACACTGTATGAACACGTTCACAACACGCTCATAACCCGTTACAGAACGGTGATGGAAAATGGAGAGCGGACTGACCGTTGCCGTTCAAATCGGGGTATTTATGGCAGTAGTGTCATGACGTCAGTAGTCCGGGGACTCGCTCACAGGACGCTCCGAGCGGTGAGGGGACGCTAAGTGACTGGTAGGTGGCTGCTACAAACCCGGTGCACACGTTCGAGACCCGGTATGGGCCCGGTATGGAAACGGCCAAAATTTTCAACAAAAGTCAATCTGGGCGGTGAAGACGGTAGAAGCACGTTCAACACCCGGTATGCGCCCGGTGAGAACGGTCAGAAGATGGCAACGAAACGGTGAAAAGATTAATTTTATGATTTTTTTTTGTTTGCGGCCGGGGACAAGTTCGCTCAAAACCCAACGTTCTGGACTCTGTTGTTTTTTAATAGCCCGGCAGGTGGACGGTAGGCCTACACGGCAGAGTGTGAGAGCTCCATTACCAATTCGCCAGGTGAGCGGTGCCTATACCCAATGGAAGCTTCAAAGGGAAATTCAACCTTGATAGCAAACTACTACACAGGAAGACAACTGTAAGCAATTCACTCACAATGCATAATGTACGAGCATATGCACCAGCTATTCTACCCTTTGATTTTCACCGTCGAAGAACTGAGGGTCGGATCCAAAGTCAGACCTGACTCAATATCTAGTGTATACAATATCCGTTTTCGATTTAGCTGATCAGGACTTGAATTTTTGTTCTGGTTTGCAAATGCCCTATAATAGGAAGTACTTAAACCCTTTTCTCTCTATTGCATAAATGTTGTGATGTTGGCAAGGTTTCAATTTTTGTTTTAAATGAATATGATGCTGACATGCACAATGTAGAACATGGTAACATTACAATCAAACTATTATTCATTGATAAAAAGTACAGTCAGGATGGATGAAACAGAAAAGAAATGGGATAGAGAAAGAGAGAGAGAAAAAGGAAGAGAGAAAGAGAGAGAGGAAAGAGAGAGAGAGAGAGAGGGAGGGAGGGTGGGAAAACTGCAACTGGGATGTAGGAATACAAGGAGACAGAAGCTGTTCTAACATGAACAGAGATAATGATGAAAGGAATAAGTTAAAAAAGGAGGATGGTTTAGAGGGAAAAAGAGGGGGAGAAGAGTAGGGGAACACAAATAAAAATAAATGCATTTATTTATCATGATAAAATAGATTACACTACCTTCACATAAATATATTCAAATACTGTTATAAACATCTCGGCTGATTTGTAATTTCAATTAAAAGTATGAGACCAATTCATTGTTAATTGTCATTATCAGAGAAAATAAAAAATATGGTATTCGGATTTGCAAACATATTGATAAAAATTAACATTTTATAATCACTCTAGAAAACAATTAGAAAAAAAGATTGAATAAATAGTGCATTCATAAATTATTTATTTTTTTATATTGTGATATTGCTTCTCAATAGATAATATTGATGGATTTTTTTTTTTTTTTAAACAACACCTACAAAAAACAATTCTTTATAATCGATCCTATTAGTGTTAAGATGCCGAATCAAAGAAGGCACAGGGCTGTTTCTAAATCTTGTAGTTCGACATCGTAACTCTACAGTGGCTATTGCGTTTCTAGTCTGATAGTTACAAGGCCTACTTTTTGGTAGAAGGTGATGCAGTTTGCATGAGGACAGTTGCATGGATTTTGCGAACGAGAGACAGAGTTTTTCACCCGTCTATCTTCGAGGGACATTGGTTTTGACTGGAGTAATGCACTCTTGTACGAATAATATTCTGCACCAAGGATGATTCTAAGGGCACGCTTTTGTACCTGTTCCATGATTTTGACTTCTTGCTTTGTAAGACCTCCTGACCACACAGGTACAGCATATTCGACAACTGGTCTAATGAAACTGGTATAAACAACAATAAGGCCCTGAACTGAAAGACTGTGATGTTTCAAGGTGCGAAGAACATACAGACGACTATTTGCACGTTTGACCATATACTCGAACATGCGTATTCCATTTCAAATCCGACTGGATAAAACTCCAAGTAGTGTTAATGTATCGGAGAGTAAGCACCGTCGGACATGCCTGATTCCTACAAAAGTAGACGTCCATTGTTGAACACTTCTGCAAATTCAAACGCATGTTATTGGTGGCTGACCATTCCTGTAGTTGAGTTAGTTCAGGGTTGATTGTGATCTAGCAGGGCGCGTTTCGACGAAAAAGAGATCATCAACATATTTGAAATGATTTATACATATATCATTGCCACCAGGTATACTGTTCACATTGACTACTGCATCATTAACCAAGGCCATGAACACAACCGGGCCTAATTTGGTGCCCTGGGGTACACCTGCTGAAGTCAAACGCCAATCGGACAGAACCCCTTTGTATTTCACTCGTTGATGGCGCTCCGAGAGGAAATTCTCAATCAATGCAACGTGACCGCCTTTGACACCCATGTTTATTGATCGCTACGGTATGATCCACCCGATCCAAAGATTTAGAGAAATCGGCGATGAGGATCGTGGAGGCTGAGCTACCCTTATCAGCATGACTGTGAACCGTGTAAAGAATGTCGATCAAGTAGCGACTGGTAGAAATACCTTTTAAAGGCACACTGTCCTACTTGCAGCTACTTGCTACCTCTATATAGAAAACTTCCCCAATCGGTGCCTGTTGGTCCCCCATGATCCTCTTTTTCTTATGTTGAATGAGAGCTGCTTTAATGAGATAGCCACCTGTCACAGTGACCTCGCTGGCTCGATGTGTGGTCTAATCCCTTCTGGCTGAAGTATAAAGCCTGCCTTTAAATTATCATACCGAGTAGGATCTAACCTTGACATCATTGATTTGAGAACTAGCGACAAAGTGCTCTGCCACCTTTGCAAAGGTGTCCGTCAGGGCAATTGGTCGAATACTGTCCACGTGAGCAGCTAGGTGTCGTTTTTGGAAGAGGCGTAACATGCGCTCGCTTCCACATTGGCGGAAAAGACAGCTGGTAGTAGGATGCATTAATGATACGAGTCAAATTTAGTAAGTTCATATGCAAATAGTTTGATAAACCGCGACGAGATACCATCTGGGCTGCATGCTTTCCTGACTTTGACTTTGCTCAATTCCATGAAGACTTCCCATGGCGTGACATGTCGAAGAGGTTGTGATGTACGTAGGTAAGCTGGCAAGCGTTCTCTGTCAACTGGGTCAAGATCGGCTGCAACTGAGGAAAACTTCTCGCAGATGGCATTTGCGATTCCTTCGTGGTCTGAAGGATCTAAATTCGGCGCACAGATTGAGACCGACGTTTATTTACCTGACATCACACGAATTTGTCAGAACCATTCGCTTGGATTGGTAGTTTTCAAACGTTGTACACGATCAACGTAATACGTTGCCTTGGCATTCTTAATTTCACGCTGGATTTTGTTTCGTAGTTGTCTCCATAAACATTGTTTGTTGTCACGAAAGGCTTTTTGGCGTTTCTTGATAAGGCCTTTAAGGTAATGGGGGATCCACAATTTATAAGTTGGGTGCATTTTGCTAGTACGAGTTTGGAAATAAGTATCCATCGACTGATGGATAGTGTCGTAGAACGCCGTGCACTTTTCAGCCACTTCTTTGGGAGAGAAAACTTCTGACCAATCATAATTGAGTATCCAAGTTCCCGGTATTCCCTTATTTTGCTATCAGTCATTGGGCGAACTATACGCTTCTATGTCTTCTTTCGCATAGGCACATGCGCAAGGGATGTGTAGAGAACAATATAATGGTCACCTAGTCCGAGTGGTGCACTAATCTCAGGAACCTTATATTCACGGGACAAATTTGTAATTATTTTGTCCAATATTGCATCATTTCGCGTAGGCTCATTAACAACTTGCACCAAATTGTTACTCAGTGTTAGAAACAATACCACTGAGATCCAACCTATTTAAAATCTCTGAGGACGACAATGCCAGAGTTCGGTTGCTCAGTGAGTAGAACATCAATAGTTGAGCTACTGTGGTCAACTAGTGTTTCTGCAATCGGACTGTTCGGGGGGGGGGGGGGGGTAATAAAAAAACTCCGACGACAACTCTGCAGATACGTCTTGGTAGTCTATGGGGACGAAGATTGACCCACAATCCTTCAACATCGTCGGGAATGTGAATATTATTGATCAATTTTGCATTTAGATGTTCTTTGCATATACAGCTACCCCTCCCCCACGTCTTCTCTTCTCTTTCCTTTCTTTCCTTTCGTTTCCTTTCTTTTCCATTTCTTTTTTTCGTTTCTTTCCCTTTCCCTCTCATTTCCCCCTCCCCCTTTTCTTATTTTCCCGACAGCAGCGCAATTTTACCGACAATATCCTGACAGGTGGGGGGGGGGGGGGGGGGTGCCGCACCCCACACCCCCTTTAGCAACGCCCCTGGTTGTTATCCCATTATTCCTTTAAAAGAAATGCAATTCCTCATGCTCTCGCACCTCTCTTCTATCGTTGTTAAATTCTCTTTAATTTTTTCCTTTCTCCTTTAACTCACAAAAATTCTCCCCTCCCCCTTTTTCCATCTCTTTTTTGTTTGTTCTTCTTGTGCTTTTTTTTTCTTGGGGGGGAGGGGGGGCTATACGCCTGGCAAGAGGGAACCCATTTTATGCACACTGTAAAATTGCGTGCCACCCCCCTCGCCCCTTTCCCGGAAAAAACCTTTCTTATAATATCATCCCCTTTTCTGTTGTTTCCCTTCTCATTATTCTCCTTTTCCCCCTTTCTCTTCTCCGTCTTTCCCTTTTTCTACCTTTCCTCTCCTCTCTCTCTCTCTTTTCCCCTTTCTTCTTTCCCCCCTCCGTTTTCTCTTCTTCCCTTTTCTTTCCTCCCTCTTTTCTTCTTCTTTTTCATCTCTTCGTTTTTCTTTGTTTTTCCCCCTCCTTTTTCTTTCGCCATCCTTTTTCTCCTTTTCTCCCTTTTTCTTTTCCCCTTCCCCCTTCCCCCTTTCCCCCTTTATTTTTACTGGAGGCACGTGACCCCTGTGCCCCCTGAATCCGCCACTGATGTAGTTGTATAGATGTACAGTTTTCTGCGTTCTGATTGGCCGGTTGGATAGACGTATAGTTGTATAGTTGTACGGATAGTGGCATGCTTGGCCCGCCATATACCCCGCAATATTTACCACGACTAGAAAAAGGTAATGCAAAGTTTTAGGAAATTTTGAAAATTTGATTGATAATAATTCTATAAAATGTTGATATATTTGGATGCCCCTGTGGATGTATTATAAGCACTAACAAATTTAGCCCCTAAAACACTCCTGCTTTCGAGAAATTGAATAATCAAAAATTTACCGGTGTTCCCGGTAAATTTCAAATATTTCAAATACACTGTCGCTCATAAAGGTGGAATATTTTAGTTTTACCCCAATTTATGGAATTATTTTAAAAATTATTTAAAAATAATAGATATAGATAATAGTATACATTCTCAGATTTTATTGAATGATAACTTGCCAATGTGTGTTTTGCGAAACTGCTAAAGCATGTGTATGCTACTATGCTTATCAACTAGGGGACCTACGCTCTCAAGTCATAAATGACAGTAATGAGGATTAATGCCCCACAAAAGGGCACTAATATAGCACATCGACACGGTTTTGATCCTGGGGCCTCACAGTTACGAGGCCATTGTTTTGTCACTGAACCATGACTGTACGCAGCGGAGGCTAGGGTAGGGGGCAGTTTCCATAAATAAAAAAAACACAGGAAATGCAATACATTTTCAATAATTTATTGCATTTTACCCCGGTTCCCAACATAAACAAAATTCTCTGGACGGCCATGCATTATGGCTCAAAGCATGGGCACACATAATTTTTGTTTATGTTAGGCACCGGGGCTAAATGCAATAAATTATTGAAAATTTATCGCATTTTCTGGGTTTTTTTTAATTAATGGAAACTGCCCCCTACCCGAGCCCCCGCTGCGTACAGTCGTGGTTCAGTGACAAAGCAATGGCCTCGTAACTGTGAGGCCCCAGGATCAAAACCGTGTCGATGTGCTATATTAGTGCCCTTTTGTGGGGCATTAATCCTCATTACTCCTACCGTTCTGAATATTATATTCGAAAAATTGTTTCCATTTCATGTCATTATTGCCACCAAGCAGTTTCTTAATCCACACTACACGCTGTGCATAGATCATGTACTTGAAATTCAACATTTTCAAACCCCCTTTATCATAGTTCAAATATAAAATATTCCTTTTTATCTTATCATGTCCATTCCATATAAAATTGAAACATCTCTTTTCAACTTCCTTGAAAACACTTGGTGGTACCGAAATTATAGAAGACACATAAAGTAATTTAGAGATTGCAAAAACTTTAACTAATTGAATTTTCCCAAAAAGTGTTAAATCCCGTTGCTTCCACCACCCTAACAATCTTTTTATTTTGCTCATTTCCTTGTAATTCATTTCTTCTTTAACATTAATATCCCAGGAAAAGTATATTCCAAGAACTTTTACCACAGAAACCATCTTACCTTATGTTATACCGGTCAAATTTTCATTACTGTGACCAGAAGAACCAAGCTTCATAATTTGTGTTTTGTCCCTATTAATTTTTAATCCAGATACCTGAGAGAAGGAATCTAATATTTTTTCTAAGATTTTCATGTCTTCTGTGTCTTTCAAAAAATTGAACAGTCGTCCGCATACATTACTATCTTCGTCTGTATATTGCTTATCAAAATACCTTTTAATTTTTGTTCATTGCGATTAACCACTGCTAATGTTTCTATGATTAACAAGAATAAATATGGACTTAAGGGATCTCCTTGTCTTACTCCCCTGCCTATTTCAAAATAGCCTATGGAAAAGCTCCCATTCATGACACAGCTAACTACATTTTTGTACAATACTTCTATCCATCTACAAAAATATGGGCCGAAACCATATTTTTTCAGTAAGAAATTCATATATGAGTGTGAGACAGTGTCAAAAGCTTTCTCGAAATCAATTGTTACTAGAAAACCCTGTACCTTGTATACCTGTGTGTAAAATATGACATCGTCAATAATTCTCACCGCTTCTCCTATATTCTTACCAGGCAAAAATCCAACTTGATCTACATGTATCACCTCTTCCAATACATTCTTTATTTTTTTCCGCCAACACTTTAGACAAAAGTTTATAATCCACATTAAGGAGGGTAATTGGTCTGTAATTGCGAATATATAAAGGGTTTTTATCTTCTTTTTGTATTACCGTTATTACACCCTGTTTCTGTGTGGTGGACAATTCACCCTTCTCAAAGGAGGCATTGAAGGAGTCCAAAAGAAGGTTCCCTATATCAGGCCAAAAAATGCGATAAAATTCCTCTGACAAACCGTCAAAATTAAGTAATCAGTTAAAATCACGGAGTAAAATGTTGAAGAGCATTTGATAAATGTGATTTTATCCAAATGAAGAATTCGTAAAAAGATGCGTAGAGAAAAACAAGTATAAGTTCTCTATTTGCATACTACCTCTTGAATACACTTCTTTCAAAATTCATTATACTTTAATTTCGAATTGTTAATTTTTTTTTAATCTTTATACATTCATGTCTGTTCTATAAAAGAAATTATACGGAGAAACAAAAATTTATTTAATCCAAACAAAATATATATATATATGTTATTTTGTAGTATTCCGCATGATCATTTTAAAAAGAAGAAACTGCATAATATATCAAGTATTACTGTAACAGATGAATAGTCAACAAATTATGTTAAAAACTATCCCTTATTTCTATTGCTTTATATATTTACATACGTGACATTGTATGGTATAATAAAATTATAATATATTACACGTAACAATGTTGCTATTTTCTTCATCAGAACTGGGTTACCATAAGTATTATGAGAAAAGAGTTCAAATACCGTTAACAAAAGGATGTATACCATCGGAAGATTCAGAAAGATAAGAGAAGTAAATGGCTGCATCAACATTGTATGCTTAGATTATAGTTATCTATGCTCTAGAATTGTATAACTACTAAAACTTTAATGCATAATAAAAGGTAAAATCAAGGATAAATGGCTGCATAATCATTGGAAGCTAAGGTTATATTTCTCTATGCTATAGAATATTATCATTAATATAACTTATGATGCATTTAATTCAAGTTTGAATGACATGATTATCTAACACTATTCAAGATTGTATTTTTTCAAATGTCAAATGTACAAAGATTTTCATTGAAACTGATACTACACTAATGTGTATGGAACCCGAGTTTGATTTTAAAAATGATTAAAATATGATTGACACTTGATTTATATTGATCAAATTTTGTTTATAAAGTTAATATCTTGTATTATATTGTCCATAATTTGTTAATTTGTAGGGAATTTTTGTAAGCAGTGTCGATGTCACTGGTGAAACCACCCTGGTCAAATAAGACTAAATAAATAAATGGATGAATAAACGATTAAATATATAAATATACATGAATATATCATTTTATCAAGCTTCTTGCAATCTGAAATATTCAAAAGTTTATTATCAACCAGTGACTTCATCATTGTTGAGATTCATCCATGAAAATTTCCTTCCCGTTAGAATCTCAAGCTCTTTATCATATGGTTCGTAAAATTTGTACAATTTCTTAAAAGTTTCTCTTTCCACTTCAGGATGCTTTCTGCCTTTACCTTTTCCCATGCAGAGCTTAAAAGGCATTGCCAGACAGAAAAATCCTTTTGCTTCGTCAAAGTATATCTTGTTGGCGTCGAAATATTTTGGCAGCCCCAAGAACGATTCGGTGGCTTGGAGTTGAGGTAGTGGATTCTTAGAAAACAAATCACCATCCAGTATAAGTATCTGTTCGCGAGGGAAAATCTCGAACCAATTACGGAGATGGCGTGAGTACAACCCTGTAAAGATAATGGCATTATTGTCGTTCACTGTACCGTCTTCGTTTATTACGCTCTTTTCAAATGTGTCTTCTATGACGTAAGATATGTTGGCTTGAGGGTACTTTAGTACTCTTCCCCGTTTCCTGGTGCCGTTTCGTTGTCTACGCGCCATTTTTTTCGGGAACACGTCCAAGACATGAGTATAGTCAGAAATGGCGCGTTTTACGGGGTCTCGCAGGATAAGCAAGAGTTTGACATCGCGTGAAACGTCCCGCGCTATCGCGGCAGGTATGTCGTCTCCAACAAAGTACGCTGGCGTTTTCTCCATGGTAAATTGATACTGTGAAGTTCTGGGCATCAGTTGTCGATATTCCTCGACACTCCTCGTCGGCTGCCGATCCCATTGATGGGCCTCTCGAGGCCTCTCAGGAGTGTCAGCCTTTGTGTAAAGAGCTGGGTGACCGGAAAGAAAGAATTCGAGCGCACCGGTTCCACATTTCTTTGCACCTATACCGATCACATCAGGCAACCGGCGTTTGCAATCCAGGTTTCTTGTCTTGATTGCTCTCTCACTTTTGCAGCTCCATCTGCTCTGAAAGAGAGTGAAAGGAGGTTGTGAACTGTTCAGGGTCAACTGTGAAACATGGCGAGAACCTGAAACACGGTGAGCTGGATTTCCCAGTGACTGCTCTCCTTGTCGACTGTTGCCACTTAAATCGAAGATGAAAATCAAAATTGGTATGAAGCAGATAAAGATGGCTGCCACCGACGATCTGGGGGATAGACACTTCCACTTCATGGTGTAGTCGCAATGGATTCTGAAAGGAGAAAATATCTTTCAGACTTGGATTGGATAAATGTGGAAATCAGGCAATTATTTCATGTGCTCTGTTAACTATCAATAATTGCTTAGAACATGTTGACCTTTAACCATATACCTGGTTGTGCATAACCCCAGTGGCATATCCAGAATCTGATAACGAAGAGGGATGGCATCCTCCCAAAATATATAATTTGAATATAAAACAACACGACAGAGGAAATATAATAATACATTACACAGTGAGGGTAAATACTTGAAACATTTTGGTTGAAAAACTGAGAATAATATAATTAGAATAAGCAAATTTAATTATTGTTTTTAACATTATTGTTGTTGTTATTCACATGTATATATCATACCTTACCACACACACTAACCCTTACGCTAAACCTAAACCTAACTCTTACCCTAATTAAATTCAAAACATTAAACCTAATATAACTAATGACTAATGATTAAACCTCTTGTTTCTTGTGAGGCCTTTAAGTTTCCTCTGCCTGCAAACGTACGTAAAGGGCAGTAATGCTATTGTTCAATCGTTAGCAGGACACGAAAATGTCCTGCTAATGTTTCAGTTTCACTACATATGTCCGGCTTATGACGTTGTAAGGTATATATATATATATATATACCCGCCTATATCGGAAAGCTAATTACTTTAAAGATCATTCACCCTTCACATGATGATATATCGAGATCATTATGCACTCGTTGAAATATCTGCTGTTTGAAAACGGCGAACCATGGAGGAAGAAGGATAGCAACTGCCTTTTCGATGTCACGATGGGGATTTTAACGGAGCCGAGATTTGTGAGTTGGTCGGCTTATACATCCTACCCAGACAGCAAAATGTCGTGAAGCCCATCTGGGTTTTATCTGGTTACATTTGGGCTGGTATATGGGCACCAGATGGGTCTACGTGGAACCCAGATGGGCCCACAATGGGCCAGCAATATGCACCAGGGTTAAATATGGGCCCCAGATGGGCCCGACAATGGGCCCAGCCAAGTGGGTTTTATATGGGGCCCATATGTGCCACGAGGGTTCTAAATGGGCTTCATATATGGTTCAAGTCGGTTATATATGGGCCCATATGGGCCAAGACGGTTCTATATGGGGTTCTATATGAGCTAAGTGGGTGTTAAGTGGGCTCCATGTCGTCTCTTTTTTTCACGAAGTGACGGTAATGAGGAAAATCGCATATAATTTCACTTTTTTTTTTGGGGGGGTGCATTTTCGGACATCATTTACTAACATCTTTAACCTCACAAAATTTCAAACCACAATAATATCTAAGTATGTCACTATGACGATGACTTTAACAAGAAAATACCTAGCTAAGTTACGCGCTGCGCTTACAGCCGGCCGTCACTTCGTGAAATTTTCGTGACGGGACTGAAAATTTCGCAATTTGGAACAGTGACAGACTATGAAAAGGTGAGTTTGTTAAAGTTGTTTTTTTAGGTAAAGTAATATGATACACTCTTTATATTCTTTGTAAGCAATAATTGATATGTCAAACATACATCTAGACTAAATTCCTTAAGTGGAGGGTCTTTCTTATCTCATTTCACATCAAATATTGATTTAATAAGGTTTTTGTTTGTTTTTTACATCTGCTTAATGCTACGGTCACAAAGGTCTGTACGAACGATAATTTTGTACGAATCTCCCTGTTTTTTCCATTGTCTTCCCGAATTTCCATTGTCTAAAAATCCTTCGTACGGCGTTCGTAGCAGTTCGTAAATGCCTTTGTGACAGAGGCTTAAGTTAAGAATAAGAACGAACTTTTACTTTTAACGAAAGTTAGACTTAGAGTTTAGACCCTACTTTTGTTTTAGTTTTAGTTTTACTTGTACTTTTAGTATTAGTAGTTTAGCTAATTAAACATTTTATTTAAAGTCTATAACTCTAGATCATCATTTCATAATTATCAATTTATGACAGCCACTAGTCAGTAATCTAGAGGTGAGTAGATCAGGATCTAGACAAAACTGAGTCACTGTGACTTTACTTGTAAAGGTGTGCTTGGGGTGTAAGCAGCTTCAGGGCTCCAAGCCCAAGGCCAACATGGCCATGGGCAAGGGGAGTTATGAAAATTATCATGCTGAGCTGAGATGGCATGGGATATGTAGACCCTCCTGTTTAACTGATAGGGAATTCACTGAGTTGCCTTTCAAGTAAAAAGTAAATAGAGTGTATAGAGTCAAGTCTTGATCATCTTGTTGGACAAGTACCAAGCACACTCACTGTATATGTACATTGGGGTGGTAGTTGTTTGGTAGGGGCAATTGAATACGTCTGTTTGGGGTCAGTTATGCCTAGTGATTAATTTGATGTAGAAAAGATAATATTAGATGTATTTTTTACCTCTGATTGCAAAAAAAAGAAGGAAAATAACTTGTACTGTAATTATTTCTTTTATTCTACAAAATTAGATTGGATACAGGGACCGACATGCTGGTTAGATGGGTCCTTGATTATTCACTGAACACAGAGCTGCAGATGTGACTTGGCATGGTGACCTCAAGTCAAAGTGGGAGCGGTATGGAATTGTTGAAGCAATTCACTGAATACAGTCAGAGCTGCAGATGTGACATGGCATGGTGACATCAAAGTAGTTTAGATGGCTTCGATGGCGATTCTGATGATGAGCCACTGTCTATGCTTGTGATTTTTGTGAACAAGTCAAAAGGTATCTTCTTCCCTTCTTGATCGTTTCCAAATAGTTGAAATTTGAGATATTCCTAATTAATTGTTTTTAATGTTTAGGTCTCTTAGTTTAAAGGAATGAGTATTCCTATCGAGGTCAGCATCTAAGTTTTTTTTAAATCCTTTACAAAAATTGCTAATACCTAAGGTTATACCAATTAAAGTATCTAATTTAAGAGCCTCTCTAAAAGTTGGTACCAAAACCACACAAAATAATTTCACCTAATCATAAATATAATGCACTGTAAAGTTCCCTTTCATAATTGACATTCTGATAATGATTGTTTCAATACCTCAATCTCTCTTTTATACTGATTCATTGTAAATATTTTGAATATCATATAGAAAACTCCTCATAATTTTAGTTGTGTGTAGAATTCAGTAATCGCAATGAAATAGATTGATTATAAAATCAATGAATTGATTTAAAGTGAACTGGTATTTGTCTATGATTTCTGAAACAATGACCTGAATGGTCGTACCTGTGTCAGTTTTCTGTTACAGTATTGTAATGAACTTCTGCAAACATAAATCTTTGATATTCAAATGTTTAGCTCAGAACAACTATGTATCCGGTATACCTACTCCATTTTTAGAAATCAGTAATGCATATTAGAGTTTTGGATTTCACTTCCATGAATTCTCATATCGTATCTTTGTATTGAAAAATTTGTTTATTTCTTTTAAATGTTTCTATTTACAGGGGTTGATGCCTTTATTAGAACATGAATATAACTTATACATTTCATAATTTGTTTTTCTGTCAAAACACAATGTTGCTAGTTCACATATAATGGTTTTACTTTTACTTCTCTAGTTATTCTCATCATAATTGTATTTGGTATTTCAAACTATCCTATAATCATACAATATAATGTTGCTGTTTTGAATTTATCTGTATGATGAGAAATGAAATTGTTTCGTCAAAATGATATTTCCATGTTTATCATACATTGTTATTGTTTAGTCAAAGATTACGTGTTCGCCTGGGTGAAGATAACCTTTCAGCAGGCACGTAGCCACGGGGGGGGGGGGGGGCACGTTCCCCCCTAAAATTTCCAAGATCGGTTGAATTTTTTTAGACCCCTTTTTTTACCTCGATCGATTACATGTATGTGCCCCCCCCAAAAAAAAAAAAACAACAAAAAAAAAAAAAAACAAAAAAACAAAAAAACATCGAACTCTCGCTACGTGCCTGCCTTTCAGCATTGGTAAACTTTGTAGCGTTTGAAACTGTGTACTAAATTTGATCGAAATACCCTACAAAGAGATTGTGTAAACTGACTTGCTTCTGATACTCTACTCACAAAACATTTATGAAAAACAGTGATGAGCAAGAAAGTAACGTCGATGATATTAGTTATATTTCCCATTGAAAAACTCCACCATCTTTTTTTTCAAGAACTGCCTTGTTTCATTGGTTCCATGACACATGCTCCGCCGACGATTGCTCCGCCGACAAATGCTCCGCAAAAAGCGACAATTGCTCAGCGACATTTGCTCAGCGACATTTGCTCCGACGTCAAATGCTCCGCTGACAGTTGTTCCGCCGACATTTGCCCCGCCGACAATTGCTCCGCCGACATTTGCTCTGCCGACAATTGCTCCGCCGACAATTGCTCCGCCGACAATTGCTCCGCCGGCAATTTCTTCGCCGACATTTGCTCCGCCGACATTTGCTCCGCCGACATTTGCTCCGCCGAAAATTGCTCCGCCGACATTTGCTTCGCCCCCAAAATACCCCATTGAAGACAATTAAATGCTCCCTTTTGCAGGGAAAAAACAGTCAGACCGCAGCCGGTGCGAAAACCCTCTATTTTATTCAGCACGTATGCAAGAATTTACGTGTCTTGCATGCGTAATGAGTAGTGCAGACGGTCTTCCCGATCGGCAGCTTTTGCCTTTATAATTGTTCATTTCTCATGAAATGGGTCTTATTTTAAAGATAAGAAGTTGCACTCTCTATATACTTATATGACAATCATGTTAGATATATTTTGGAAACAGATATTTCGCCTTGAAAATGGGGTTTTTCGACGATAAATCTATCTAAAGAGTAGGGCTGATTTTCACATAGAAATCATTCTTGCGTCAAGAAGATGTTATAATCAGCATAAAGCATAAATATTTATCTTTACAATGATATCAAAATTATTTTATTTTACGCTGTACCAAAGTCAGGAACCAAAAAAAATCACGCTCATGTTTATGAATAATTAAAAAAAGTAGTCAACTTTGCCGATGTGATAATACAGCGTTCTGATTGGTCAAATACGTCAACTA